CTTCTGGTAAAATATATCCTGTTAGATGTTCAATGTCTTCAGCTGTAGGGCATGAATTACTGAGAAGGAGCAGAAAGGGAAGTGCAAACATGAGCTATCATGAAAATGTATAATTGTACATCTATTTTTATGTTTATTGCCTGTTGCCATATGGGAAAATAGTGAACTTCCTTCTAATCCATAGCACACACACTTTGCACTTTGCACATAAATTTAAGCCCACCTGAATTTGAATCCAACTGAGATAACCAGTTTCTAATTTTCCAGATTTTTTCTTTTCATATATATGTTATGAAATACATACACGTAATATGTATATATACATAGGGTCTCTGTTAACAAATGAGTTCATATCACATATACTGTTTTGGAACTTTTTAAAAAACATATTTTCTATTACAGCATAGCATTTTTTGTACCTTTAAAACAACTTTGTTGAGCTACAATTTACACATAATATAGTTCACCCATTTAAAATACACGATTTGAAAATTAACGAAGTTATTGAGGACATGACTTAGCTCTGGATCAAGTGAGCTTAATAGATATCTACAGAACTCTCCACCCAAAAACAACAGAATATATAGTCTTCTTGGCACTACATTGGACTTGCTCTAAAATTGATTATATGATTGGAAGTAAAACACTCCTCAGCAAATGCAAAATAACTGAAATCATAACACAGTATCTCAGACAACACAGCAGTTAGATTAGAAATCAAAATTAAGAAACTCACTCAAAACCACACAACTACATGGAAATTGAACAATTTGCTCCTGAATGACTCCTGAGTAAATAATGGAATGAAGGCAGAAATCAAGATATTCCTTGAAACTAATGAGAATAAAGACATAATGTACCACAATCTCTGGGACACACTTAAAGCAGTGTTAAGAGGGAAATTTTTAGCACTAAATGTCCGCATCAAAAAGCTAGAGAGATCTCAAATTAACATCCTAACATCATAACTAAAAGAACTAGAGAACCAAAAGCAAACAAACCCCAAAACTAGCAGAAGATAAGAAATAACCAAGATCAGAGCAGAACTGAAGGAGATAGAGACACAAAAAACCCACCCTTAAAAAATTCAACAAATCCAGGAGCTTTTTTTTTTTTTTATTTTTGGAAAAAATTAGTAAAATAGATAGACCACTATCTAGATTAATGAAGAAAAAAATAGAAGAATCAAATAAACACAATAGAAAATGACAAAGGGGATATCACCACTGATCCCACAGAAATACAAACAACCAACAGAGAATACTATAAACACCCCTATGCAAATAAACTAGAAAACCCATAAGAAATGAATAAATTCCTGGAAACATACACCCTCCCAAAACTGAACCAGGGAGAACTTAAATCCCTGCATAGACCAGTAATGAGTTCTAAAATTGAGGCATTACTAAATAGCCTACCAACCAAAAAAAGCCCAGGACCAGATGGATTTACAGCTGAATTCTACCAAAGGTACAAAGAGGAGCTGGTACGTTTCTTCTAAAACTATTCCAAACAATTGAAAAGAAGGGACTCCTCCCTAATTCATTTTATGAGGCCAGCATCATCCTGATACCAAAACCTAGCAGAGATAAAATGAAAAAAGAAAACTTCAGGCCCAATGAACATCAATGTGAAAATTCTCAATAAAATATCAGCAAACCAAATCCAGCAGCACATCAAAAAGCTTATCCACCATGATCAAGTTGGCTTTATCTGTGGAATGCAAGGCTGGTTCAACATACACAGATCAATAAACATGATCTATCACATGAACAGAACTAAAGACAAAAACCACATGATTATCTCAATAGATGCAGAAAAGGCCTTTGATAAAATTCAACGTACCTTCACGTTAAAAACTCTCAATAAACTAGGTATAGATGGAACATACTTCAAAATAATGAGAACCATCTATGACAAACCTACAGCTAATATTATACTGAATGGGCAAACCTGGAAGTGTTCCCCTTGAAAACTGTCACAAGACAAGGATGCTGTCTCACACCACGCCTATTCAACATACTATTGGAAGTTCTGTCCAGGGCAATCAAGCAAGATAAAGAAATAAAGTGCATTCAAATAGGAAGAGAGGAAGTTAAATTGCCTTTGTTTGCAGATGACATTATCCTGTATTTAGAAAACCCCATCATCTCAGCCTGAAAGCTTCTTAAGCTGATAAGCAACTTCAACAAAATCTTAGAATACAAAATCAGTGTGCAAAAATCACAAGCATTCCTATACACCAACAACAGACAAGCAGAGAGCCAAATCATGAATAAGCTCCCATTCACAATTGTTGCAAAAAGAATAAAATACCTAGGAATACAGATAGGAACTCTTCAAGGAGAACTACAAACCATTGCTCAATGAAATCCGAGAGGACACAAACATATGGAAAAACATTCCATGCTCATGGATAAGAAAAATCAATATTGTGAAAATGGCCATACTGCCCAAAATAATTTATACAGTCAATGCTATTTCCATTAAAGCACCATTGACATTCTTCCCAGAATTAGAAAAAATATTTTTAAATTCATATGGAACCAAAAAAGAGTCCTTATAACTGAGAAAATCCAAAGCAAATAGAACAAAACAGGAGGTGTCACACTACCTGACTTCAAATCATACTACAAGGCTATAGTAACAAAAACAGGCAGACAGAACAATGGAACAGAATAGAGAACACAGAAATGAGATCGTGCACCTGATCTTTGACAAACATGACAAAAACAAGCAATGGGGAAAGGATTCGCTGTTTAATAAATGATGCTAAGAAAACCGGCTAGCCTATGCAGAAAATTGAAATGGGACCCTGTCTATACACCTTATACAAAAATTAACTCTGGATGGATTAAAGGCTTAAATACAAAACCCAAAACTATAAAAACCATAGAAAAAAATCTAGGCAATACCATTTAGGACATAGGCATAGGCAAAGATTTCAAGGTGAAAACGTCAAAAGCAATCGCTACAAAAGCAAAAATTGACAAATGGGAATTAATTAAACTAAAGAGCTTCTGCACAGCAAAAGAAACTATCATCAGAGTGAACAGACAACCTACAGCATGGGAGAAAATTTTTGCAATCTATCAATCTGACAAAGATCTAATGCCCACAGTCGACAAAGAACTTAAACAAATTTATGAGAAAAAACATACAACCCCATTAAAAACTGGGTGAAGGACATGAACAGACGCTTCTCAAAGAAGAGATTCACGCGGCCAACAACCATATGAAAAAACACTCAACATCACTGATCATTAGAGAAATGCAAATCAAAACCACAATGAGATACCATCTCACATCAGTTAGAATGGTGATTATTAAAAAGTCAGGAAACAACAGATGCTAGTGAGGCTGCAGAGAGATAGGAAGGCTTTTATATAGTTGGTGGGAATGTAAATTAATTCAACCATTGTGGAAGACAGTGTGGCAATTCCTTAAAGACCTAGAACCAGAAATAGCATTTGACCCAGCAATCCCATTACTGGGTACATACCCAAAGGAAAAGAAATTATTCTGTTATAAAGATACATGCCCACGTGTGTTCATTGCAGCACTATTCACAATAGCAGAGACATGAAATCAACCCAAATGCCTATCAATGATAGACTGGATAAAGAAAATGTGCTATATGTACACCAAAGAATACTATGCAGCCATAAAAAGGAATGAGATCATGTCCTTTGCAGAGACATGGATGGAGGTGAAAGCCATTATCCTCAGCACACTAACACAGGAATAGAAAACCAAATGCCACATGTTCTCACTCATAAGTGAGAGCTGAACAATGAGAACACATGGACACAGGGAGGGCAACAACACACACTGGGGCTTGGTGGTGGGTAAGGGAGAAGTGAGAACATCAGGAAAAACAGCTAATGCATGCAGGACTTAATACTTAGGTGATGGGTTGATAGGTGCAGCAAACCATCATGGCACATGTTTACCTATGTAACAAACCTGCACATGTACCCCAGAACTTAAAATAAAAAAAAGAGAAGACATAAAAAATTTAAAACAATACACAATTCAGTGGGTTTCTAATATATTCACAGTTATGTATCCAGCATCACAATAGCATTTTGTTTTAAGAGCTTACAATATACCATTGTGCAGACATTTAATTTCTTTTATTTAATTAGTCTCCCAAGCATATTTGAATTTTTCCATTTTTAATCTGGAAGAAGCAGTACTTTCATGATTGTCTGTATAGATTTGTGCACGTGTGCATATATTGCTGTCATAGGCATTTCTAAAAGTGGATTTTCTTGGTCAAGCTCCAAACACTTTAAAATGTGATGGATCTTAACAAATTTCTTCCCAACGTTGTGCCCAGTTTAACTTCCCCATCAGTTTATGCTCATGCTAGTTCACCACACTCACCAATATGAAGAAGCATGGATTTTGTATTTATCACTCTGTGAGGCAACAACTCATTGCTTTCATTTGCATTTTTATTATGTGGGGTTTAGGTATTTTTCAGTTGTAATGGACTGTTTGCATATATTCTTCTGTGAATTTTTAATTTGTGACTTTTGCTGGTTTCTTTATTTCTTTACTGGATTGCCCACCTATTTCATACTGATTTGTAAAAGCTTTTAATGTGTTAGCAATACTCACCCTCTATCACATATGTTGCAAGCACTTTTTCCACATTTGTCTTTCAAGTCTGTAAATAGTGCTATTCACCACATAAAATTTTAAACTGCTGTGTGACCAATATTTTCCTGTTTTTGGTTCTTATATTATGCTCATAACATTTCTCAGTAAGAAGAAAACTGTTGATTTAGTAAATGGGAAATAATTATTTTTAAAGTAATAAAGTCGGGGTGAAATATTTTTTATTTACTTGATATGACTAGTTGTTTTCTTCTTTTGCCATTAATTGCAGTCTTCAAGCCAATGCTTCTTTAGAAACATGACAGATTTAATACCAACACTAGGACCATTTGAAGACAGAGCTGTGTGTTTTAATAGAGATAATATCTCAACAGGAGTTTGTGCGGCTGACAGTCTCTGATGTTCTGACCACCTACGTCACAATCCTCATCGGGGACTTTCTAAGGGCGTGTTTTGTGAGGTTTTGCAATTATTGCTGGTGCTGGGACTTGGAGTACGGATATGTAAGTATGATGTTAATTTTGCTCTTGTAAGGTTTTTCCTTTGTAATTCATCATTTACACACACTATATAGGAGAAAGGCATCACAGAGTTTAGTGGATGGGATCACCTTTTTAGGTGCCAATAAATGACGACCAATGAGTACATTTATAATGCAGAGAAGGTCAGACTTGAGTATCATGCTTTACAATATTCTAGTAAAATTAGCACAAAATAGCAAAAGCAATGGACTTCAGCTTGTTAGTTGAAATGTTGAACTCAGTAAATCTTGGCCCTGTAGCCCACCTTCTCCCTATAAAATTACTAGCATTTCTAGAAGCAGGGAAAGGTGGCTAATATCAACTGCATATTCTATTATGCCTTTGAATTCTACTAAACTCCTGGATACTACCGTGTGCCAGTCACTCTGCAGTAGATGGGGGGGATAAAAGGATTTGATAAATATGGTACTTGCTTCACAAAGTTCACAGTCTAATAAGAGCTTGACAGAGACACACGCAAGAGACTGCAGAAAGCTCAAGGAAGGCCTAGTTTGCTGTCATGCATCTGGCCAGTGGTGGAGCTGAATTCTGGAAGGGACGGCTTCTTTTCCTGAAACAATGGCTCGGGTTTCTCAGAACCACACTGGTACTGACTCCATCACCAGCTTTCCCTCTATGCTCAACCGCAGGTCCCCCAACAAAGTCTGAGGGCAACAGCACAGTCATCACTCAGTGACTGGCACGTCGCCTGGTTTCCACTGTCCTCCTTTGCAGTTAAACTGGCTTCAGTCATCCCGGAAAATATGACCTGGGGGGTTGGTAGTACTCATTTGCTTAAAATCTTCCAGTGACTTCTCAAGTACTTAGAATGATTTCCAAATCCCTTTCTAGGCCTTCAGTACCCTGGATGATCTGCTTCTTTTCTTTCTTTCTCAAGTCATTTGCTACCACTTTTGCTCTTGCTTTGTAAAGTTCACAAACATGGGATGCTTTTTAGGCTCAAATGCAAGACGGTCCTTGCATTTGTAATTGCTGTTTCTCCTGCAAGGGGTGCTGTTGCCCTAGAACTAGGAATGGCTGGTTTCTTCTTGTCATTAAAGACTCAGCTATTATGTTACCTCCTTAGAGCTCTTCTCTGACCACCTATTCTAACGTAGCTAATCAGGCACTGTTAATATCAACACACTGTTCTGTTTTCTTCATAAGATGTGCATCTATTTGACATTACTCTTGTAAAATGTACTCATGGTCTATCTCCCTTTGTTAGAATGGATACTCTATGAAAACAGAGGCCCTGACCTCTGTTATGTGAACTGTGCGAGTCACGTAGCAGGCATCATGTCTTGACTGGCTGTTTGAATATTGGACCTCCTCATTTTTGCACCATCAAGGCAGCACTGTCTATTGCCAGAACTCTGCCTCCTTCGAAGCATGTGCCCATGGAGTCTCAGTGTAATGTTTTTGAGTTATTGAGCCAGTAATGCTTCTCTCCTCACTAGTGAGGGAATATCCTTTATAGCTGATCTTCTATCTCTTTTATCTCCTGCCCTCTAGTCTCTGGATAAGTCCTACAGTTAGGACTGTTTTCAAGATTTCAGGCTAGGTCTGTCTGGCTGTCTGACTTTGAGATGGTACCTTTTATGAGGTCATCTCCATCACCCTCATTGAAAGTGCCTCCTCGGACTGGCCAAAAGCAGTTAGGTAATGCTCTTCGGTGAACGACAGTGAGGTAATGGCTATAGATACAGGATGCTCTTGTGTTGCTTTCCCATTCTTTGCTATGAGATATTCAGCTGGCTTGGTTTCATTTCTATTTTCCTTGCCTGATTCAGCTCCTCTGAGGCAGACATAAAAATTGCCATTTCTTCCTTAGACTATTGCTTGGCTTGTGCTTACCTTTTATCCCTTGGCTGCTTTCTTCTTAAGTGGCAGAAAACCTGACTGCAAATAGGAAGTCAATATTACATGACCTGGATGCATAAAAGCTGTAATTAAATGACTGTAATTTATTATTTATTGACTGCTGACAGTGTTCCTGGGTTAGTACAAAGTACAGGAAAAAAGACAAGTTCCCGTTTTAGGTCACAGAGAAGGAATTTTCTCCCACGTTACCTTTGGAAGGCTCAAAAAAGCTCTGTCAGAATCAAAACAAGTGTTAAAACATTAATGATGGATGATGAATCTTTGATGTAGATCCCATTGTCATTGACTTACCAAATGGATAGCTTACATGGATGAGGGCCTACTAGGTGCAAGCCATTATAAACAAACTCTGTGCTAGGTGGTAAAGGAATACAGAGATGTAGAAGATGTAGACTTACGTAGAGGTTGCAAATGTGGCCTGCAGGGTGGATTCAGCTAATGGTTATTTTTGTGTGGTATGCCCAGTGGTGATGTTTGTTTTTGTTTCATTTTTTATGAGCTAATACTTTAAAATGAGAGTTTTTACATAAAAACACATGGATTTCTTGTTTTTCTTGAAAGGCTGGCAAAATTAAGTCTGTATTCCCACTAGGGAGAAATTGGCTAGAGTTGAGAAACCACCACCATCTGCAGTTGAGATATTCATTCTCCAGTTCCTCATACTCTTCACCACTCTTTTCTCTTGCGAACTCCCAATATCAATAGAGAAATCAATTATATGGCCCTTTGGAAGAGAAAGTGTGTGCGTGTGTGTGTGTGTGAGAGAGAGAGAGACAGGTGTGCATCAGTAGAAATGCAGACACGGAGGAGGAGACATTTGAACTAAGTCTTAAAGGATGATCAGGATTTCAAGAGATGAAAGGAGGAGTTCCTGGTGGAGGGACAAGTATAAGACAGGGTCCCAGAGCTAGACAGTATGGACAATCCAAGTATAAATTTAAAAAACTAAAATGAGGCTGTTTTAGAGCAGAAAAGGCTGATAAGAATGTTTCTCTGCTATTCTCCTAGACCTGCTAATCAACAATATGGTTTCAGAAAGTACCTGTCATGAAGGGAAGGACAACCTGAGATGGGCAGAGGAGATACTTGAGAATTCTGTCAGAAATAAAATATAAAAACATGATCCTTTCTGATACACACATGCATGCACACATACACACACACACAAAGCACATTTTTTTCTTCTGAATTACAAAAATAATGCCAGTTTATTGTAGAAAATTTGGAAAATATAATGAAGCTAATATGAAAATAAAAATCATATGTAATCTCTGCCACTAATGAGATTATTTGGATTGTTGAATCAAATAGTATTAGATAACAAGCACTACATATTTATATATAGTAACATAGATTTTTATAAATATATACATATATACATTTGTATATGTATATATGTATGTGTTTAAACAGATAGATAGTAGACTGATTACCTGCTTTTATTTGTTTTACCTAACAGTGATCATTTCCCAATACTATTAACTGTTGTTTTGTCACATACCTTTTAAATGGTTGTATAATATTCTGTATGTGGGTGTAGTGTAATTAATCTAATTAGTTTTAATTTGCTTTAAGTTGAACTGTCTAATTATTCTTATGATAATAAGTGTGATGACATTTCATTATATCTGTAAATAAGTATCTTCATTGATAAATCATAGTGGATGCATAAATTTTTTCTTATGATAAATTTCTCTGAGTTGAATTGCTCAGTCACAGAAGAGGGCTTTAAAAAAATCTATTCATTTTTATTACAACAGCCTCTGTAGAAACTCTGCAGATTTCAGCATTAGATTCAGAGATCTATAGAATGCTAAAGTTAGGTGGATTTTGACACAAGCAATTGTAATGCTTGTATTTAACATATGAAAAATTGCATCTGTGAATTGAAATGAGGTTCCTAAGTTTATGTAGCCAGAGAATAATAAGGACAATGAAGTACACTTCTGGACAAAAATGTTATGTTAAATGTACTGAATTATATACTGGCTCTATCTGAGTAAGTTGGGGTAAAAGGGATTGTGAATATTTTTCAAGACATAAATTTATGGTCATAGTGTTATCACAACAAACCTATGGAGATTAACTAAGGTGGGAACATTTCTGGCTTGGAGCAGATTGCTACCCCAATGTAAGTTAATGTAATGTAAGTTAATATCTCCCAAGGCTTCTCTGAGCACAGTTCTCAGTGTTTCAGAAGAGTTCATGGGGAGTAGAATAGTTTGTCCCTAGGAAGGATTTTAACTGCTCTAATTTAATACAAAGTGTGGCGTCTTGTAAACTCTGGGTTTTCTATAACAGTTCAATGCAGAATATCTTTATCTTTACTTCAGTTTTTGTTGACATCATTCTTACTATTTACCAACAAAGCAAGTAAAGAATATTCAGGAAGAAATAGAATTAGATTCAGGGCATGATGGGGTAAGGGAATGTTCAATCAACTCAGCATGGTGTTCACAGTTGCATTTTTCAGGTGATCACTGCTCACTTGTGAGAGCGGAACAGCAATGGGAGACTGCTTTAAAGTCTGATGAAGGGTGCTCAAGATTATCCATAAATAAGAGGCATATAATTGACTGACTACCTGACTGGATTCCCAATCATATTACATTGTATTATGTTACATCTCAATGTACTGCTTATTTACTGCAATGTATCAGAAACTCTACAATGTACTTTGCATATATTATTCCATGTGATCGTACATATACAATAAGCAATGTACTGCTTATTTACAGCTATGTATCAGAAACTCTACAAAATACTTCACATATATTATTCCATGTGATCACACCAGCAATGCTGTGAGATGGTATTATTGTTCCTACTTTACAGTAAACGGAGGTTTAGATGATGTTAAATAATTACTCAAAGACACATTGCTGGTTAGTGGTAGAGATAGGCCTGAAATTCGAGTCTCATCTCCTTCAAACCCATCAACCAAATTTCCATCATGTTGAATGTACACTGTAATGCTTGACTCTAGAAATTTTAAAAATTCTGCCAAAACTTGAATCATTAATGCACTAAACCTATGGCTTTTAGAACTCAAAGTGTTCCTAGGCTTAGGCAGGCTACCTGTGGTAGAATGGAGTTAGGAAATGAACTGGGATACAGAATTAGAAGATCAATGGTTCTGTAGCTGGGAACGTGGAGATATTATATATCAGTTCGAGAAGGTAGCATGATAAAGAGTCAGGAAGAAATCATCAGCATCCCATAAGGGGTTGAGAACATGGGAACAGGAACAGTGCAGACTGCGTTTTAAGTGTTCCTTGAATACGTGGACAGGATCTGTCTGCAGTTAACAGGCTCCTACTCTCAACTAGGGTTGAAGTACAAAGCCTCAAGTGTTCAATCATCCTAGCAGACGAGGCTAGAGTTTGTCCTAGATCAGTGCTTCTGAAATTTGAGCATACGTCAAAATCCCCTGAGGACCTGTGAAAACAGCATTTCTGATCCAGTAGATCTGGGGCAAGGCCCGAGAATGTGCTTTTCTAATAAGTTCCCAGGTAATGCTGCTGACTCTCGTCTGAGGACCACACTCAAGAGCCACTGCTCTGGAGCCACAGCCCAGACCAGCTTGCAGCTCTAAGCAGAGTGATTCCAGCTGTGAGAAATGGGATTTATGTGGAGAAGGTCAGGCAACTCATGCCAAGACAGAATTAATTCTCTGTGAGATCCTGAATTGCATTTCATGTTATCCACAGGTTGGCAATCTGCCTCAAATAATGAAACTTGCAGAGAGAGAAGGGATAGTCTCAGGCTTTTTCTTTGTCCAGTGAGCACCACATGTCTTCCCTCTAGGTGGGTGACTGACCTAGCACATCACAAGCAAAGGTCCAAAAATTAAACAATATCATTTCCAATCTGTCGACTATGATAGACTTTAGCCCAAATCCACATGGGCTTTTCTGGTGCTGGCCCCCAACAATCTTACCAGGAATGAGCAGTCATTAGTGAATTTATTACACTTATCTCATTCAAATAATTTTATGATCTCAAAGTTCAAAAGAATCTGTTTTTTTCTTTTTCCCTAACCATCTTTTACCTTTGAGTTTTTTCTATTTTAGAGATAGACAAAATATATTGCAAATTGATTTATATTTATTAAAGTATTGCTTTAAAAATTAAAAATGTAATATAACCTAATGTTTAAAAAAGCCTGCCTCTAAAACAATGGGCACTGAATTTTATACTACATATGTGTAGTTTTTTGCCTTCTCATATGTTTTAGTTTTAAAATGAGAGCTTCTGTGTTGATTGCATAAGTTAAATTGCATTTCTAAGGTGTTTACAGAGAAGCAATTCTTTCACAACTGGGTCTGATTTTCAACCAGTAACATATTTTTAGACTAGAAAGGGATCTTAGAAATGAACTAGTTCAGAGGTTGGCAAACTTTCGCTGTAAAGGGCTAGATAGTAAGTATTTTAGCTTTTGCAAGCCATAGTGTCTCTATTATAATTGCTAAACTCTGTTGTTTTAGTACTAGTCATAGATAATATTTAAATGAATGAATATAGCTGTATTCCAACAAAAATTTATTTGTTAGAACAGGTGGCAGGCTAGATTTGGCACATGGGCCTTAGTATGCTGACCCTTGGTCTAGTTCATTTTTATTGATTTATGTGTCAGGAAACTAAGCCTAATGAGATAAGTGACGTGCCCAGCTCACCTAGCTAAGAAATGGTAGAGTGACGTCTAAAATTCAGGTTTGAATCCTAGTCAAATGTCTATTCTACAAATCCACTTGTTCCAGTATGGCCACCCTATGTCCTTTCTCTGCATCAGACCAATTTATAGATCAAGGAGGTTGTTCCTCCAGCTGTCTCTGCTGCAAACACGGCAGAAAGCTAGGGACCCTAGGATGTCCTTTATGCTTTTCTAGTCAACTAGTTATAAAATATTTCATCTCCAATGACCTTCTGGAGGTTCATGTGCTCGTGAGAGAGTGAAGAAAATAGACATTTAAAACATTGAGCTTTTTTCCACGTTCAGTAGTTTGGTGGGCTACCTCATGACATCATTCTAAGGAGGCAAAGGTTTAAGATTTGATTTTTAAACTGACATAGAGAAAGGCTGTTCCAAGGCCACAGGTGGGCACAGGCCACCCAAATGAGCATTTTTCAGATGTGTTCTGTGATCACACAGGGCTCCAGGGGAAAAGTACTGAAGATCATCCAGAGCAGGGCACTCCCCCAGAAGGAAAAAGACTCAGAGTTAATGTTCTCCAGATAAGAAACAATTCATTTTTCTCCATGAAGGTCACATTTTTTTTTCATTGCTGATTTCAGAACAAAAATTGTCAACCAAACCTTTTTGTCTCTTGTGAACATTGCCCTTCTAGAAAATCTGCAAACTAGCAAAACACTTTGTAGCTGTCCTTCAACAGTATCTAGAATGATACTGCAGTTATCCAGGTCATCTTTGTTCTATTTAATACACAGGACTCTTTGTTATTTCATTATGTATCATCCTATGATTTTACCTTAAGGGTTAACCATTCCTGTTATGCCATACTTGCTGTTCTTTCCCTGAATCTGTTACAAGGCAGAAGTCACTATGTTCAGTCAAATAGGAGAGTAATACTGCCTTTTAGGAAAGTGATGAAGTTGAGACCTGGATTCATGAGACTCTTGAGGCCAAGCATTTGAAAGTTGGGAATGGTTTTGTTGGAGTTCCAAATCAGGAACCAATTCTATCTTCTTACAAATATATTTTTGAGATCTTGGGTTTGGGAGGAACAGAGGCTCTCTTGAGTCATCTTTGTGTGTGTGTGTGTGTGTGTGTGTGTGTGTGTGTGTGTTGTGGAGGGAGTTGTTATGGGGGTATGTGTGATCTGAAGCACACCTGGAGATAACAGAATCTGAGCAGGGCTAGGAACCTGCGAGTGTCTTGGTCTCTTTTTCATGGTCTTCTTGGCCCTCTCATTTCATATTTGCTGCTCTCTTATTCCCTTATGACCAATTGGTCAGTCTCCTCTGATTCTCTATCCCAAATTAAATAAAAGCCAGTTTTATTGCCCTTGCTAGTTAGCATTAACTCCATTGTTAGAACCTCTTGTTAGGATGCCTAATGCATCACCAGGAAACCTTTGGATGGGCCACCCTATCACAGTTTCCCACCTCCATCCTATTGTTTTTTTGTGGCTCCTCTGCACAAAAAGCAGTCTAGTGTTGCTGCCCTGAGCATGAAGGTTATTATCCAAGACATGGAGACTGGACATTCAACTGAATAACTTCTTAAGCTTTTGTTATATATATATTTTGCTATATTTATTTTATGTTACAGTTAATTCACAATTTTGTTGAAAAAAGTTTTAATATACAAAACTTAAAAAAGAAAAGGAAAACTATAGTCCATCACCCACATATAAGGTATGACTATCTTGCTGATTCTTTTCCAGTCTTGGTGTGTCGTTTCATATAGTTGATTAATGTGTGACTTTATATTTTTTGTTTAACATTAGAGCACAGTTTTGCTCATGTATGTAAATATTCTTTCAAAATGATTGTAATTTGTTGCAATATATCATCGTATAAATATACTGTATATACGTGACTAATGTTCAACACTTACATGGTTTCATCATTGCTTGTTAAAGTTTATCATCACATCAGATAATTTTATTAAGACAGATTCTAGAAGTTTTCTTACAGAGTCAAAAAGAATAAGATTTTTAAAGCTTTTAATATGCATTGTCAAATTGTTTTTCTCAAAGTTTGCTACAGTTTTTACTTTCACCAGCAGTGTATAGGAGAGCCTGTCCTGCTACACTTTCAAAGCATTGAATGACAGCCTTTAAAAATGAGTCTCACTATGTTTAAAAAAAATAAAAAGGTGCTTTCTTTGTTTTATTTATCTCCGGTTACTTATCCTAGTGATTATTCTGCTATTGTTACTGAAAGGAAGTAGCTGAAACCCTAGCCATGCCTATGCAGAACCACTTGCCTTTCAGTTTTGACCACGTGAGATGCTAATCCAATGAACATTGTGTCTCCTCTAGCCTTCATACACCGAATTCGACATCAGTGGCAACGTCCTCGCTCTGATCTTCAACCAAGGCATGATCTGGTAGGCCAGCTGTTGGACAGCTTATCACTTACAGAAAAGCCTCCCAGGTTATTTTGGCATAAAGCATTGAATCCTGGTGTTAGAGGAGAACACAATCGGTGTCTAACTCCATATTTACTTTCGTGAAGTGGATGCCTGTACATAGTTTCCTTTTTTTTTTTCGTATCTTAAATGTCAGTCATCAAAGGTGTCTTTCTGTTTTGCAAGGCACTCCTTCATCAAGTAATGGGAGTCTGTGTTCTGGTTGGCAGATTTATTTGAAGACTATATTTTTATATTTTGTGACACCAGGATCTAATATTAAAACATTAATAATTACATTACCACATGTTAAATACAAAATAAATTAACATAAGGCCTTTCTGAGAGACCGAGTTTATTTTCTTGTCACTACTAAATATACTTAAAATGTAACTTATAGCTACTTTAAAAAATAATACCTTATCAAATCCAATAGTTTATAGAGGTGAAACACGTGTATTAGGAAGGTCAAGTTAAAATATGATCTTCGTTTTGTAACTTGTTTAATCGGGCCATTGGCACATCAGAATTACTATTTTTTTTTTTTTTTGATGTGTGAAGGGTTGTCATATCTTTTATCAAATAAAAGCATTCTCACTATAAACTTGACAGGTTAAGATGAGTCGATACAGTAGAAATCATTTTTGAGTTTAAGAGCTGAATCACGGACCACGTGTCTTGAAAATCTGTCACTTCAGATTTCCAGCCTATAAGCAGTTACAATAAGGCTACTTTATCCTGGGTATATGTGCCTAAGACAATATTATGCTACCAACCATACCGTTGTCCTATTCACAAGTACAAGTATAGACTCAGTTTTTGAACAAGTTTCATATATTGTACAAATAGAGCTGTCCTGAATTATTAAACCTTTGGGTGCTGACAGACACTGGACCCGTCTGCAAATGCTAAAACTGTCTTGCTTCTGTCACACAAAGACCACCCTCAAGGGCTCCATCATCTTGCCATGGGGACTGTTAAATTCCTGTGCCTGACTAGGTAAATCAATATGGAAAAGATGTTATACAAATATCGTTTCCTCCTTTGCCAGGTAGGTTTAAAAATCTAATTTTTATCCCCTTTCCAAAGTTTCCAAGTATGACTCACATGTCCAGACTCACTAAGGAAGGAAATGTATCTTTCATTTTCCAAGCAGGGAGGAAAGTTGAGGTGGCTGGAGGAATGTCTACTGACACGGAAGTAAAGGGAGCAGCTTCTGTGGGTTCTGAGTTTTCATTTCCTGGAGTTCAATTGGCTGTCATGGCAGAAAATGGCTATATGGCTATGGGAGTAAGGAGAAGCCACTGTTCTATCAGTGGCGTTTACGCAAAGTGTCATAAATCCCTCAGCCTCGTGATTACCATTCACACAGACATATGCTGCACGTCGATTGTGTTCTTTCAGAGTTAAGACAACAGATTGGCCTAGAAATTTGTTTTTATTGTCAGAAAACCTGTTATAATGGCTGTCTTGATTGGTTTCACTTGTGATTTTGCAACTATTTTTGTCCACTACTGTTCGTATTGAAATTCTTAAATATCTAACATGTTTTTCCAGTTCTCTCATGGGCAGATCCGTTATCAGAATCTTTGCACTGTCATTTTCTGTCTGTTAATTCTTCAGACAGTGGTCAGGCTTGCTTCTGGCTAGTTTGAAGAGAATATTAGAACGGGATTGCATTTTTTGAGTATACAGAGATATTCACACACTTTCCAAAGTTCCAGAAGCAAACTGACCATTATTCTATTATTCACCTTCACGTCAATGCTTGGCACAAATACTCTTTTCCTAACCTTAGGAAGGTGATGAGGGAGGGGGATGTCATGTAGAGGGAGGTGTGGGGCAGGTGTAATGTAAAATTAGTAGGCTTACTCTGCACAAAGGTCCTCACACACAATTGTTCCATTATTTTGTGAAGCATGAGGATATAATGCCGGAGCTTAACCATTTTCTACAGAAACAATTAAAAAGGTACAGGGATTTTGTATTCAATTCCATTGGACTGTGACTGGAGACATTGAATTACTGCTTTAGGAATTGCTGAGTAGTGGAGGTTACTTATGCAGATGTTATTAACATCAACATTTATAGATAAAATCCATTTTGCTATGATTTGGTTGAATGCTCAGTAACCTTTATTTACACACTTACTGTTTGAAATACATGTGATGGTTTCTGTGGTAATATTTTTAAATGATGAAAGCACATAATATCTTGATCATAGCAGGATATTGAGAAATGGCACAGAACATACAGTGAGAGAGAAAATGAGTTTTGGACATTGCTCCAACACTGCTTCATTGGGTAACCTCTGGCCAGGTTTATCACCTTTTTCTTCTCACCTTCTCAGTTGATCGGATGTGAATAATTTACCTGACATGTACATGTCACTGAAGTAATAAGGAGAGTTAAATAAAAGAAGCTTTCATTTTCTTTGATCTTCCTGGAAGAAAAGCATTTTATAATGCTAAAGTATTACAATGATTTTTACTGACAGATGACGGGATCAAGCCTGGGTAAGGGACTTAGTGGGCCGAGCTGATTAGTGATTCATGAGCAAAGATAGGATGAGCATTAAGATTCAGATATTATTATGCCAGGACTTATTTTTCTAGGTTATGGCTCTTGAGTTATTTGTTCAAAATGTCTTTGTGATATTTATTTTGAAATTTTGAAATTTATTTATAGATGCATGCACAAATAATAAGCATATACGTACAAACAATGTGCGTGTATATAGGTACAAATATATGTGGTTTTAGGCAAGTCTCGATTTTGAATTATGTGCAAAATTATGTTTTAGAATTGATTAGGTTATGTAGCAATGAAACAACCTCAAAATCTTAGCAGCTCATAAAAAGAACATGTTCAATGTGGGGTGGAAGAAGAGCTTTGCTCTTCTTAACTTACCTTCGCTTTAGAGACCCGGACTGATGGAATAGGATCCATCTGAAACATTGCTATCACACTAGCAGAGAACGAAGAGAAGGAAAAACCACACAGGGCTTTTAAAGCTTCTACCCAGCAGTAAGGGCCTAATTTCTTTTCATACTTTATTGGCCAAAACAAGTGATGTCGCCACCTGATTTTTAGAAAGACTCAAAGTGTATTACATCAACAAGTATTGGTATTGGGGGATATAATCCGGTGCTTTGCAATTCTAACCCATAAGCTGGGACTATCACTTGCTTACTTGCTCACTTTTTTGGCATTCCCTCTCTCTTGCTGTCCTGTAACAAAAGTATACTGTATTGTTTTAAAATCTATCCTCCCATTAGAAAAAAATAGTTTAACTTCCTACAAAGTCTTTGTTCAATTCATTATGGTAAAATATCATTCAGATCTATTGCTTGAAATCTTGTCAACAAGACAGCCCAAATTGTGACAATATTCCACTTTTCAAAGAAATGAGTTAACTGGGTTGGCAAAAGTTCAATTATAGCGGAAACTAATTTCTTCATTTAAATTAAAAATGTCTCTATAATGAACCAAATTTACATTGGATTGGCTAAACAGCTATTCAGGGAGAACAAAATGCTAAACCTAGTTAGAAATGTTGCGGGCTTCATTATAGATAGAACACTTTAAAAGACAGGGCTCCCCTTACATTTTTAAAATAAGTGCACATGTATCTTCTTCTGATTTTGAAATAACAATGCTATTTGTATTGATTTATGGTGCTAATGAATTTTCTCATCCAAGAAGAGTGAAACTTATTTTGTTGAAGTAATCAACTAAGCCATCAAGTAAAAGTGACCACACCAAAGCGGTTCCTACCTAAAAGTAGTATTTTAAAATACTTATAAAAATTCAGATGCACAAAGCAGAGAATTCCCAAGACAAGCTACAGAAAGGAAGTAAACAGATAAACTAAATTTAAATAAATGTGTGGAATTTTCATCTCAAAAACCTATAATCTAGTTATACATTTTCAATAAAACCCTATTTTAGGAGGCATAAATACATCATTGCAATTGGCTTTAAAACACCATATCACCTACAAAGAGAAAATGATCAACATCAGAAAGAGAAAATTTATTTTAATTTTTTTCTTTCATTAAGCAAAAATTTTTTTCAGTTGTACAGTCATGGCCTACTGCAACCTTGACCTCCTGTCATTAAGCAAAAATTAATTATTCATTACAAAAGTGATTAATTCAAATGTACAGTTTATTTGAGTAGAAGAAGTGACTTTAAGGGTTAATTATTTTTAACAAGTTATATTTATAGATATATTAGTCAATGGTATAAGTGTTGGGGAAAGTTTATTTTAGAATTAGAAGAAAGAAGTAAAACAATTGTAAATATTGTTTACCCTGTTGTAGTTTAAATTCACTAATGACAGTAGGTTTAGTTAATTAACAACATTCTTTCTATGAAATAATTATGATATGCAATTCCTACAATAATGGGGAAAGTGGCAAAATGTGTTTAGAAGTTGGAAATAGATAAGTGCAGTTTATTTATGAAAAGGGTTTGTGTGGTTGAAAGTAGCAGTGTATTTTCTGCCTTTGGAAAAGAAGCCTGATGTCAAATAAACAGGAGCAGTGTGACTTTGCTATGGAGTAAAGACTCAAAACTGAGCAGAGTTCTGTTTTCTTTCTAGGATGGGCTCCTTCTTTGCTCCCAGCCTCCCAGGCATCAATATCCTTCGACTCCACACATCCATGTACTTCCAGTGCTGGGCCGTTATGTGCTGCAATGTTCCTGAGGCCAGGGTCTTCAAAGCTTCCAGATCGAATAACTTCTACCTGGGCATGCTACTGCTCATCCTCTTCCTGTCCACCATGCCTGTCTTGTACATGATCGTGTCCCTCCCGCCATCTTTTGATTGTGGTCCCTTCAGGTCTCTTTTTGAAATTTGACTCAGGCATGATGTTCTTTCAGGGATGGAGGTGGGAATGGCCATTCATTGTATGAGCTATTTTTTTTTTCCCCAAACAATGGCATGTTTGGTTGGTGGAAATGAGATCCCGGCTGGGCGCAGTGGCTCACGTCTATAATCCCAGCACTTTGGGAGGCTGAGGCAGGTGCATCACCTGAAGTCAGGAGTTCAAGACAAGCCTGGCCAACACGGTGAAACTCTATCTCTAACAAAAATATATAAATTAGCCAGGCGAGATGGCGGGTGCCTGTAATCCCAGCTACTTGAGAGGCTGAGGCAGGAGAATCGCTTGAGCCCAGGAGGCGGAGGTTGCAGTGAGCTGAGATGGGGCCACTGCCCTCCAGCCTGGGGGATAAGAGCAAAATTCTGTCAAAAAAGAAAAAAAAAAAAGGAAAAAGAAAGAAAGAAGGAAAGAAAGAAAGAAAGAAAGAAAGAAAGAAAGAAAGAAAGAAAGAAAGAAAGAAAGAAAGAAAGAAAGAAAGAAAGAAAGAAAGGGAAAGGAAAGGAAAGGAAAGGAAGGAAGAAAAGAAAAAAAGGAAAAAAAAGAAATGAGATCCTTTGGGTATTCAGGTTCAATAGGTGACGTGGAGATTCTTTGACAAGTTCTGTCTACTTCCTCATTTGGGAATCATAAAAGAGAAAATACTTTATACTTTTCCAGGCTCTGCCTGGGTAAAATATGTATGGTGAATCTGAGCTGTTTCCATCTTAGGGAATAGCTAAGAGCAAGGTCTGATGACACTGGTTTGGATGTGAGTTTGCCTGACTCTGGGCCGTCACATCCAGACATGGTCAGCTCTCACTACTTCTCTTGTGCATCACTACCTTTAAAAGAGAGAGAGACAGAGAGAGAGAGAATACCCCCACATTTTACCTAGGAAAGAGAATTATTACTAAATACTAATGAGCATAAAGAGCGCCAATTTATTATCCAATTTGCCACATGCTAGTGAAAAAAATTAAGGCTGTTCCACATATATATTCTCTCCCAATTATCATTCAAGTCAGGAATCAACAGTCACAACGGCTCCTTGATCCAATTTAGAGATACACATTTCTACAGTTCTCTATGACAGAGCTCTCTTCTCTCTATGACACATATCAGAAAACTAAGTCCCTGGCATCTGGAGGATGAGGTTTCTTTCCCTAAAGGGCCTTAGAAATGAATCTACCACAAGTTCTCCCAAAAATCTCTGCGTGTTGAGTCACTGGCCAGCATGCACTTGAACTGTTTCTCCTTTTCAGTGAAGGAAATGAGACTGTAAAAAGCCATGTGAATGATATACATGATGCTGTAATGCCCACATATAATTCCCCCTTTATGTTGTCAGATCTAAGTTATTTAATTAAAGTCAAAAGGTTCATTGCCGACAGACTAAGTATATAAGAGACATTTTCACTCTAACAGTAGTCTGAGTTATTGCTTTGCCGGAAAACAAGAAAATGTTAAGCCAGCTGATTGAGTTAAACTAGCTGGAGCTCTATCTACTCATCAAACTGATGTTGAGAAGCTCTGTTAATTCCATTGTGTGTGTGTGTGTGTGTGGGGGTGGGTGTGTGTGTGTTTCCAAGTGGACTGAAATAAATAATGCAGACAGTGACATCTGGAGACTAAATATGAAATTACAGTCTTGATGGAGACATTTGTCTCAATAAATCCCTAACCAATCTCGGAGTACAAAATTCAAGAAATATGCCATTCAAAGGCTTTAGTTAATTGCAAATTATTCACACAACTGGGAAGGGGTATCTCTATGCTATTTAGATTTTTTTTTTCATGTCAGTTTCCTCACTTTGGAGCCAAAGGATGTTTACATTGTTTATTTGTCTGGACTTAAAAGTTTGAAAGGATTGTCCTGCTGTAGAAATGAGGTGAGAATGCTTGTATTAGTGGGTACCTCATAGCATGTCATCTTTATGAAACCTGAGTTTTAGGTGATTTGCTTAACCTTCCTAGCGAAGGTTGTCTGACTCTATCTGGATCCTGGGCAAACAGCAATTTAGGAAATATAAATTTGAACCAAGTTACTGGAGGTAACACAGTGATGGCTAGTTGCTTTCCAGTGTAGGGAAGTTTTCAGGTAAGATGGCTATAGTGCATTTATCCATTCAGTAAAGCAATGTGATGATATATTCTAGTTTGTCTGGTTTTGTAAGACCTGGCTAGAGAGGGTAAATTTTCCAAGAAACTATTCCAATAGGCTAGTAAGTGGATTTGTCTTAAATAGTTGACAATTTAAAAACTATTTATTTGATGTCCAGATGAAGGCAATTCTAATTGTTCTATAGCATTTCCTGACATTTGATGTTTTCTCCCATCTATGTCAATAATTCTGAACAATTTATAGTTCTCTAGGTTTTTATACACATCCCTGCTTACATTATGACAATTTTATTTTTTCATGTATTTTCATCTTACTGCAAAGATAATATGTGTTTATGCTAGAAAACCTAAACATTGTAGAAATATTTTTACATGAAAAGAAGCGCGGTCCGTAATCTCGAAAACCTGAAATAACAATGTTTTAGCATTTTATATTCTGGTTTGCCTTTTACACATAATTTTTCATAACTGAGCTTGTACTGACACAGGATGTTTCTCAGCTCCTTCGCTGGACTCACAGAGGGCACCCTGTCTACTCGCCCTGCTGTGCTAAACCCCTTGTGGGAGGAAGCATGTGGGCAAGCGAGTGCGGGATCTGGCCAGACACACTGGGCACTGACACAGGAGCAAGCTCCATGTGGGGCCTGTGGCCAGACCAGGTGTGTCACCTTGAGGAGAATGCAACGGTGCCCAAGTGAGGGTGCCTATGACCCCGAAGCCCCAGAGGCAGTGTTACAATGCTTCCTGAGTCCCACCATCCTCAGCCTGATGGATGGCAGTGTGTTAGCAGCTCAGTTGGCTCCTTGCCTCATCACGTGGGGCAGCTGCCCTCCACCATAGAAGGCAAAGGGCCAGTGTGACAACCTTTGCTGGGTACCCACATTCAGTGGGCCCCGAGCTCTTGTCCAGCATCCGAGAAGAATGAGGTCACATGGATTATTGAACGATGGTGAAGATGGATAATTTTATTGAGTAATGAAACTGGCTTTCAGCAGAGAGGGGAGCTGGAGAGGGGCCAGGAAGGGAAGGTCCTCTTCCCCAAAATCAGGTTGTCTCTTCCCTAAAGTCAGGCTGTCTCTACCCTCTACCAACCAACTGAGTCTGTGGTCTTTATAGGCACAAGATGGACAGTGTGTGCTGATTGGTTTGTGAGTGTGCAAAAAAGGTTAAAGTGAAGACATCACTCAAAGGTAGACATGACAGTGTAGAAAACCAATTAGGAAAGGGTAGGTATATGTAAAATAGGTGAAGGGTGGGGATGAATCAGAGGAAAGTGCACCAAACAGGAAGACAAGTTCTCAATCCGGTCTGAGGATTTAACTTGGAGTTTGGCTTTCAGGCTTTAAACTGTCTTTGGCTTGGAGGTGGCATTTCACCAGGTACCTGCCCCTATCTGTCTAGGCATTTGGCTGCCTTGTGTTGCTATCAGTATACTAGGTGCAGGTTTTTAGTATTGAAAGTTAAAATTATATTGTGACACTGCTATTATATTGCTCATTTGCAATCATGCTTTATGCATCTATTTTTCTTAGTAGTTTAGCTGACTTCCAGAGATTGGGGATAGAGCATTTCCATCTCTGTGGGTCTAGACACAGTGAAGTGCTGGTCAATAATTTGAATGAATGAATGAATAATGACTGCTTATTGTGCACTAAGCACTAGAGGAGACGCAGGGGTAAGTCCATGCACTAAGCATTGATTCTGGTCCTGTGGCACTTACCACCCAGCTGGGAAAAAAGACCTCTTCATAAGCTGTTCTAATCTAGAGTGGTGCTATGCCTACAGCAGGACTATGGATAGACACAGACAACTGGAAAAATAATTCTGAGAATATTGTGTAATAGCACACTTTGGCTAACCTGGCAGGAGAAGGCATTGCCAGGGATTTGTAGATGCTTCCATAATTTGTATGTAATTAAGATATCTGGACTCCTTTCTTTGGTAAAAAGCCTGACCTGAAAAAGGTACACAAGAATCCCCAGGGACCTAGTAACTTTGCTTTGGGTCACACTGAATGCTGAGAAGGCCTTTGTGGGTAGGGATAATTTCATAAAATTTGAATCCCCCACTCTAACCTCATTCATCAGCTATGACCTGAGATGCTGGAGAAGGGAGGATAGATGGTCTTATCTTTTTTGGTACTTTTAATTTATCTGCTTATCCTGTATTCCATCTGGCTGGGGCTGTTGAGGGGTATGAACAATTAGAATGGAATGGTGAAAAATAAAACTTTTTGGAATAGGGAGTTATAATCTTATATTGCTTGTAAGCTTCATTCCCTCTTATGTATCATAAGTGTTGAAAATTAGTGTGTAGATCTTTAATTTGTGAAGCAAACCTTGTACCTCTGTAGTGCAATGACTACTGACAAAGTACTTGGAGTCGCTCTGTCTGCTGGAAGATAGTATTGGTTAGACCAGGAGAAAAAAACCATAATCTGGGACTTGTGTGTCGTTGTTATTTAGTAGTTGAAAGTGCTTAAAGATTAAAATACAAAAGCAAAACTAAACATTGTATTAAATGTTGCACCAACATTTATTCTGATGATGCGTACAATTTGGTGAAACCCAACCCAAATCTCTTCTGAAAATTACATCTTTTCATAGTAAAATCAGTATGCATATACAGAGAAAACAATGGTGTAATGAATATCATGAATATTATGGTACAATTCTAGCTATTCCTTAGTAAGTCAAGACATCCTGTTCTCGTTTTTCTAGTTTATAGGAGCTGATATTTGCCTTCATGGGTCTGCGCAGTGGAGCTAAGCTGGTATTCATTAGGGCCTGTCCAGGAGAAGAAACTGAGAGGGAAAGAACCCATGATTCGGTGTGGTTACCTTACCTATTAACATATCTGATGAAGGAAGTCTGGTGGAAAATAAGATGGAAGCTATTGCATGGAAAGAGATATTGGATTATATGTGGATTTTATTCCACTGGGCTATTCCTTGTTCTCATTTCCAAGGCTAATTAAAAATTGAGTACACTGTTTACTTAGCTCAAAGAGAGTGTTCTCCTACAAGAGCAGCTGACTGAGAGGCAGACTTATAAGCTATTTACAAAATATATTTCAATCAAAAAATCTTAGAAATACAGTTTTAAAAAAATCTTCTCCCAAAAAGATGAAATGTGGGTAGGGATAATTTCATAAAATTTGAATCCCCCACTCTAACCACATTCATCAGCTATGACCTGAGATGCTGGAAAAGGGAGGATAGATGGTCTTATCTTTTTTTTTTCCCTAACTACTTTGACTATATGTTTATATTGGGATCATATTTATCATATCTTACCCATATATTGACTACATGAGGTCAAAGTGTCAGCAGTTGTAACTAAACATCAGATTCCTAACCTGAAAGAGGACCTAAGCAGTAATTGAGAAAGATTTCCAGTTTTCTTGCTTTAACCATGGTTTTTCCATACCTTCTTGATAAACTTCTCTCCCCCTTTTTAATTCCCGCAGTGGCAAAAATAGAATGTTTGAAGTCATTGGAGAGACGCTGGAGCATGATTTCCCAAGCTGGATGGCGAAGATCTTGAGACAGCTTTCGAACCCTGGGCTGGTCATTGCTGTCATTTTGGTGATGATGTATGTGCTTTCCCTCCTCAAAGAAAGAGCCTTTGTGATGTTCTTCCTGGCTGCTTTTACATTTCAGCTTTTTCAGCTCTCTCACTCTCCCTAAGGGTTGTGCTGTAACCTATCCAAATGCAACACTGATTACATGGTGGTGAGAGGCTAAAATTCATGAGCCATATTCTGATCCTATTGGATGTAATTCACAGCCATCTGCATCTGTCTTTGCTTCCCCAGGATTATAAGATTTGTTCCCAAGTAACCACAATAATTATCCGTAAACAGCTAAAGCAAGGAAAACATAAATGCTAAATGCTAAATCTAATCGGTACGTTGAGCTTCCCCCAACAGCCCGACCTCCACCTCTTGTTCCATAAAGCAGATGGCTGTGAATATACAGAAATAATGAGCCTCTAAGTTAATATTCCCGTTGGGGGCCCTATAAACTATATTTTAGGGTCAAGGGCTTAAAGGGTCTTAAAAATTTCCCTGTCTTTGTTGTTAGAGGGCCGTCAATAACAGTATGTTCACGATAATAGAATCAGAGGACCAGAGCATCTTGGGAAGTTTCTGTAGTCTATGCCTTCAAAGTCAGAAGTGATTTCCAAAGGGGAACTTGTCAGATGACTTTTGTTTTCATATAACTTTCATTGGCTTCTGACTCTTGGCCACCACAGATAAACTTACATTCTAAGTAAAAGTATAGACTTGCTGTGGAAGAGCCAAAAGCAGCGTCCATCTCTTCCTTTCAGTCCCTGAGTGCCTCCTACATAGAATGCCTGGAGCTGCCACCACTCAGTCAGGGGGTAAATATTAAACAACCCCAGGAACAAAGTTGATGTTAAGAACAAAGTTGATGCAAAGGATTTGGTTCATTTAAATAAAGGTAAAACGAGGAAATCTCAGGGAGAAAACTCCCAGTGGTTTGCAGTAAATGAACAGGGATTCTGACCCAGTTATTGTCATGATCACAAGCCACATAAAGTAGTGAGGGCAGGTTTATCTTCTTCAATTTTATAACCTAAGAACTTGATTTAAAGAAGGAAAGCGATTTTCTCTAGGCAAGAGAGAGAGAGAGAGTAAAATGGTCACAGAAGGACCTAAAGCAGATCCTTTGACAGTAAATCCAGTGCTCACTTCTTTATACCAAGAGGCTTTCTGTGAGGGAGAGCTAATAACCTGTGGGGATAATTAAACAGTAAATCAGATTACCATTATATATTACATAACCTTGATAATGGAGTGCTATTAAGAATCTGATAGTAAATCTCTGGCACAGATGCATTAGAAAATGACCTACTGAATGCAGCATGTTTCACCAGATGGCCTTTGAAACGATTTTCTTTCTCTACATGTCCATGATACAGTGGCTTCTGAGAGCATGTTAATCAGTATCCTGTGGCCTTTGAGAGTCAAGGCCTTTTAGTGGTATGAGTGAGGTGTTGTTTAAAACACACACACACAGACACACACACACACACACTGTAAACATCAGATTTTGTTACCATATTCTTAATTTATTAAGAGACATGTTTATTTTTAAGTGAAGGAGTGACATTGTTCAAATGCCTTAATCCAAAGATCTAGCAATCGTTCCTAAGAGTGTTTAAAAGGAATTAACACTGCCTTTGTTTCAGGTACTATTTACACACTGACTCCTTTAATTCCCATAACAGCCTTGAGAAGTTGGCTTCATTAATCATACTGTCAATAACACATTGAAGTTCTGCCCCAAGTCAAGTGACTAATAAGGGGAATTTAAACTCGTGTCTTCTCCTTCACGCTAATTTCCTACACTCACTTGCAGCACCAAACAGGGATCAAAATCAGTGGGAATTTCAGATGGGCTGAAAGCCACTTGTCTGAGATGGTATAGACCCAGGGTCAGCACACTTTTCCTAATTAGAGGGCCAGAGGCAAATTAGGCCAAGAGGCAAAATTGAGGATATTAATTAAGTAATTACTCATATAACCATTATAAAAACCGGAAAAACCATTCTTAATTCATGGGCCGTACAAAGCAGTCTGGCAGTCATCTTCAGCCTGCAGGACCTAGTTTGCTTTGATCTGGAGAGCCTGGAGGAAAGCTGGCCCTATGCACGTGTCAAATAGGTATACTGAAAGGTTGATTGTGGCTCTGAGGTTCTGATTTAAAACCCAGATTTTAGCTTATTACCGATTAGATTTTTTTCAAATTCTGAGATCTCCTCTTCTACTTTATGAGGCCCATACAATTGGCTAAGCTTTTTATTACCTTTAATTAGAGAACTGTACTAGTATTTTGAATTTCCCCCAATGGATTTTATTATATCAACCTGGATGGCTTTTGGGTATCTAAGCAGAATTCAGGTTAGTTCTCTGCAGGCAGTTTCATTCCTTTGGAGACTAGAAAAAGATTTGCGAGGAATACTTATTTAATGTGCATTACAAGGCAGAAAATCATGGTGGATAAATAGAGAATTCCAGAACTTGAAAGGACTTGTGAAATCTTTGAGTTCATCCTCTGAATCCAGGAACTTTTCTGAGAAAATCCTTATAATACACCACACACACACACACACACACACACACACACACACACACACTTTTATTGAGTACCTATTTCATGCCAGATATTGCCCTGCATGCATTTATGTACGTAATTTTAGTTAAACTCCCATCACTCATGTAAGAGACAAACAAACTCTGCCAAACCATGTCAATAATTGTGTTGCTAGCACCAGATGGCTCATAAAGGATATTGTCTTTCATTTTTGAGAGTAAAGGAAATGTGTTCAATATCCAGTTATTTGCAGCAAAGAGTGATATAAGTTACCTTTTTTACTGCATTTTTTCTTTGTTTGTTTGTTCGTTTTGCCTTAAGTGAAGATAAGCATATTTATTTTTAACAGAATTGTCTGGCTAGAATTTGCCCTTTCTAGAATGTAAATGTCATTTAAAATCCAAGAATATTCCTTTATACAACATTTTCTTTTTGAGAGAGAAAGAAATGCAAACAATACATTCTACTGAAAAAAATTCCATGTTCATTATCTATGCCTATGAGGATTATATTCTTAGCTGCAAAGGCCAAAGGACGAAATTTAAGGCAGAAAGTCGTTTTCCTTTTTGTTCGACATATTCCCTAAGCTGCAGTAGGTTTTCCATTCTCTGGAATGTCATTGCCATCCATTTAAAATGCTACTTTCAATTACGATTTAAACTGATGTTAATACATTTCCAGGAAAAAGCTAATATTAGGCAGTGTGAAATAGCAGACAGAGCAGGCTGTGGATCAGGAGCCTTGGGCCCCAACTTGCCAACTTCACCCTAGCTTCATCCCTGTGTCATCCTGAGTGTATCTCTTTACCTCTCTGAACCTCAGCTTTTATCTGTAAGACAAGAGATTTAGAGTAGAAAACAGCTTAATGTTCATTCCCATGCTGATATTTCATAATTTACTTAATGTAAATTTAAGAAGTATCTTGGGGAACTGAAATATACCCTAAACTGTATTTTTTTTCTTTTTAATTTAGTTTGACCATCTATTATCTCAATGCTACTGCCAAGGGCCAGAAGGCAGCAAATCTGGATCTAAAAAAGAAGATGAAAATGGTAAGATACAATTTATTTCATAGAAATATTACCTTTATTAATGTCAAGTAGTGGAAAACACTGAGAAATCTAATTTTTTTCCCTTATATTTTACTGTGTAGCAAGCTTTGGAGAACAAAATGCGAAACAAGAAAATGGCAGCTGCACGAGCAGGTTGGAGATATGTTTACATTTGTAATTTTTCTTTTTCTTTTTCTTTTTTTTTTGGCTTTTTCTCCATTGGATGGTGAGTGGCATTATTGCCACGACCAAGTCATTCCACAATCCTTACCTTCCACCTTTTTAGCCCTTATCAGGCATCACATTCAGGGGATTTGGTTGCTTTCTGTTGGGAGGGAAAAAAGAGAAATGAAAATGTGGGTGTGTAAACTTGGCAGTAGTGATTTTTAAAAGTGACCTTGAAAATGCGCAGAAAATGAAGAAATCCCCCATATAGTCATATACAAACAGCACACACAAATGCAGATGCTCTCCTGCCCATGTTGACTGTTTTCATACATGGAAGGATACGGCGAGAAGATCCCAAGAGAGTCCTCTGGGCTTTCCACCACTGATTGCCAGAAGCTCTTTCTAATCCATTAAACTTTCTTTTTTGAAAAACCTCTTTAATTTTTAAAATACTAGAGTAAAGCCAACTTCTAGTTGCCAAAATTAATAATATGCTTTGAGTTCCCCATGGAAAGGTGATACCTAAGAACTTTAGTGAAAACCTTTTCCAACTTTTTCCTCACTCCTGACTTTAAAACTCTTTATATTAGTAGGACTGTGTCCCCACTGTAAGTAATAAAACACTCAAATTGGTTTAATTAAGAAATAGCAATTTATTTGACCATAGAAATATAGGGAAATGGTATTTTTTTTTTTTTTTTTTTTGAGACCTGGTCTGGCTCTGTGGCCCAGGCTTGAGGGCAGTGGTATGTTCTCAGCTCACTGCAGCTCCAACTTCCCAGGCTGAAGTGATCCTTCCTCCTCAGTCTCCTGAGTAGTGGGGACTACAGGTACACACCACCATGGCTGGCTAATTTTTCATTTTTTTGTAGAAGTGAGGTCTTGCTAAGTTACCCAGGCTGCTCTCAAACTCTTGGGCTCAAGTGATCTTCTCTTTTTGGCCTCCCAAAGTATTAGGATTACAGGCATGAGCCACTGTGGCCAACCTTCAGTATTGCGGGATCTGGCCAGCAGCCCGCAATGCAGCAGGGCTCTCTCTTTGTTCCCAGACAGATCAGCAGGTCGAGAAATAATAGACACACACGAGATAGTGAAAGCTGGGTCCAAGGGGGTCACCACCTTCTGGTCCCACAGTGCCAACAATGCACTGAATATACCAGCATTTATTAAGTTTAGTGAGGGCAGGGGTAGGTTAGTGAGGGATTTAGGGTCATTTGATTATGAGGTGAGATGGTCACATGGGGATGAAGTAGTTCTTTAACATAACATCTGTATGCAGAAGTACAGTATACAGAGGTAAGAATTTACAATATAGTGTGTGCATCAGTAATTTCTAACAGAGCCTTAAAACAGAAACACAGTCTTTCCATAACCTATGATTAGCAAGATATTAATCAGCAGTAACAGTTGCAGCAAAAGCTGATTACAAACAATCCATAGAAACAGGATGTGAAGCTAGACAACTGGTTAGACCAGAAATTCTCAGAAGGGAGTATGCCTTAACCCTAAAGAGGCCTAGAAGAGCCGTGGCAAGATGAGGGCATTCATAGCCCTGTCTTATCCATATCGACAAGCACCCCCCTGCATGTGTCTGTTTATAGGCTCTCCACAAGGGTCGCATTCCATTCCCAGAGCTATGAACATCTGCTTTTCTGGGATAGGAATCTTGGTGGTGTGAAACCTCCCTGACTGCACATCCATTCATAGGTTCTCTGCAACGGGAAAGACACCATGTGCTGTTGGCTCATACTGGCAGTCCAACCTGGCATTGTCTTTACACAATCCTGCATGCAATTTTGTATTTACAATAATCAGGAGTGTTTCATCTTTTATTCCACAGCAATAGTTTCAAGGGGTCTCCCTACATCTCCCCCTTTTCTCTGATTTAAATGAACCATAGCAATCATAGCTTGGCACTGATTATGATTGGATTGAAGAATATTTTCCAATTTTACACATGAACAATAAACCAATGGCACAAATTATACACAGAACAAAATTAATGATAGTGGATCCTCCCAAAGATTTTACCCATTGAATGGGGTTGAGATTAGATAACCCCTTAGAGATACCGTCTAAAACTTCAGCACCAGGTAAAGCAGTTAAGTGTGCTTGAGAGGCCTCAAAAATCTGTTCTTTTAGCTTGCTTATGTCTACACTTAGATTATCTTCACTTCCTCGTAAATGGTGTTTTATTGATTCCCAATTGTGAACAGACTCATTATATTGGAACAGAATTATACAAAAATCAGAAGTATTCCAATCACATTGCATTTGTAATCTATGTTCTAAACTCATAATTCTGTCTCCCATCCATGTAACAGTTTGTCTTAGATCATTAATTTGATTGGCCAATTTTTGATCAATACTTGACTGAGAATTCCACATCCAAGTAGAATTGATTTTTGCCATTTATCTACAAAATGAGCAGTTTGAATAGATTGATGTAACTACATTATAGTTAATAATTTTAATAGATAATTAACTATATATTAATTACAATGTAGTTACATCAATGTAACTCCAGCAGTAGCAGCAGTCACAGTAACAGCAATCAAGCCCATTATTACTGCAATTAATGTAAAAATAAATCATTTACTCCTTTTAAGAATTTTCTGTAGAATGTTATTAATAACTTGGATAGAAGAGGAAGATTCCCAAGGCCTATGTAAAGCTATGGGGAACCAAATACCTTCTCTGGCTCTGACATAATAATATCTACTATGATATTGATTAAAGGATGAGTCAATACAAGTATACAAGTAACAATTAACACAGGTAATTATGTTGGTTTTTGAACTAATATGCATCTTTCCTACTAATAACATATATGGTGGTTTAACACAACTTTTAAGTGGTATAGTTTTGTTGGATTCCATATAGATAGTATATATATTTCGGGATGATATTCTTTTTTGTGAATATGGGGTGGGGGGAATAGGTTGTATGAGAGGTGGTGGTGGGACATTAACAACAGGGGGGTATAAGTCCTCATAATCTTTACTATCCCATCTTTGAATTGACCTTTTGATGATTGCCATAGTGATATTTTTGGCTGTGTGGAAATAGTAGTGTAAATCAATCTGTTGTCTTAGTTTTTGAGGTGACGAGGTGGATTTACTTATAACACCTTCTCCAGCCCAAACTCTCATACCAGTCATAGCTATGGTTAACCTCCATAATTCTGAATGTTCAGGTCCTAAGTGGGGAACAACGAGGCTTGGATTTGGAGGGGCAACCCCTGCCCCTTTCCACTTAAAAGGAAAAAAGGAGTTAAATCTCCCATATAATAGGGGAGGGTTGTCACTACTTTTTTGATAAGTAATATCATAGAGAAAATGTTGCCAATCTCTGTGACCCTGAGAGCAATCATTAGTAATATGACCTTTAGGAGCCCAGTCAACAATGGTGTAGAGAGAATTAGATAACACAGTTCCTTCTGAACTAACGCAATCCTTCCATATTAATTTGTCAGCATTTGAAGACAAGTTGAGAGGACATGTAGGTCCTAAAGGCTTATATTGGGATGTGTGAATATAATCAGTGATTCCTGTTTTGACCTGCCTTAGAGGTTTTAACGAGAGCCCTGATTCCAAGTGTCCTAAAGGAGGGACAGAGTGACCAGATGGTAGTGTGACCACCCAAGTTTGAATATCTAATTAGAGACATCCATTAGTGGGTCCCAGGCACAAAGGTGGATACCTAAAACCTAAAGTGATATTGAAAGGGGTTCCTTCTTCTGAAGGTTGGGCAGGACAATGATCATCTACAGAACCAGGCATCCAAATACTATTTTTTTAGTTGATTTTTACATATTTATCTCCAAATTACCTGATTTTGTTGTAATTTCTTGACTTTTTAGTATTAAGTATTATCTATTAAAATTATTAACTACAATAGATATAATAATTTTAATAGATAATACTTAAACTTTTTTTATACTCTTGCTCTATGTATTCTCTCTATGTATTCTACCTATGTAGTTATATTATTATTTTCGTTAGGCCAGTATACATGATTATGGTCACACAGTCTTCACAGCTGAGCCAAGTAGTAAACTATGGTACTTGTGCATACTTTAAAATTTTCTCAGGATTCATAAGTCATCATTTCCCTTTTTAAACATTTTCTTATTTTTTATATATTTGTCAGTCATTCATTTAATTTCCAAATCTCTGCTATTTATTGAATTATACTCTCAATATGTTCAGACATATTGGGTTATCTATCCATTTCATTTCCTTGGAGAAATCTTTCCCAGAATCTTCTGAACTTCTCCAATTTCAACTGGTGAGTGTCTGGGATATAGCTATTATCCTTTCATTTTTCTTCACTGTCATTCAGCAGGATGAATGTCACTTTATCCTGTTTTGGATATCGTGTTTTCCATTTTCTCCAACTTCCTCTCTTTTGGTTTGCTCACATTTTGCAGGTAAGAAAGGGTATGTGAGAGGCAAGTTTTCTGAGACCATGCATATCTGAAATTGCTCTTCTCTTGCTCTCCCTTTTGATTGATAGTGTCGGTGTCAAAAATACTCATCTAATTATATTAGAAATAATATCCCTTCAAAATAATATTTTTTCAGAGGTTTCCCATTGCCTTTTAGATTCCACACTTGCTCTTGAGAAGTTTAAAGTCATTGTGATTCTTAGTCTTTCTTGAACAACTTGTATTTTTGATTATCTGTTTGGTTTTCCAATCTGAAAAGTTCTAGGGTCTCCTTATCTGCATGTTCAGAATTTCATGATGGTGTGTCTTGCACGGATCTATTTTTATTCCTTGTGTACTCATCAATGGATTCTTTTGCTCTTTGGTTGAAGGGAATTTTCTTGAATTGTTTACCAATTCTTTCCATCCATTTTCTGGTTTTTTTTTTTTTTTGGATGTGGAATTTCTAGTTTATTTTTCATCCTTAAATTCCCTTTGTCTCTTTGTTTTACCCATGAACATTTCCTTATCTTTAAATTTTAACATTTCTCTCAGCCTTTTCGCTTTTGCTATCATAATTTTAGTTTCCGCAAGCTATTTTGTTCTTAATTCTTCTTTTTTAAACAGCATGCTGTTCTTATTTAATGACTGTAATGGCTTGTTTTGTCTTTATGAGAATATTAATAACTCTTTTTGATGTTTCTTTGCCTTTGATAGTCTGTTTTCTCTAAGCTGTTTTGTCCTTTCTTTTTTCCCTGCTTGGTGATCCCCTGCTTTGTGACCCTCAGCTCATATTTCAGGGTAGGATGCAAAGGTGGGTTTTGAAGCTCTAAGCACATGGATGGAGCTTGTGGGCAGATCCTCATTGGAGGACTCTGCCCGGGCTGCTGCTGAACCCCAATGTCAGTATTTTTAGGCTTTTTCTCTTAGGCTGATTAGATTGCTCAGAAAAATTACTTCCGAACTCCTGCCCGGAGAGTAAAGATTTGCTTGGCAAACCGGTAGCACCTGAGTGGGAAAGACGACACCAGTGGGGCTCAGCTTTCAGCCTACAAATGCTCACTTTGCCCTCTATTTTTACTGTGGCACTCCTTCTGGTCTTCTAGCCCAGAAGCATCTCTGTTTTACTCTTTTTAGAAAAAATTGTTCCTGTCTTCTGCCAGATGAAAGGCGGTGGGGAGTGGGGAGCAATTATTCATTTGTACCAAGTGAAGCCCATCTCAGGCTCTAACTGCTGCTGCTTCATTTTTTAATAACCCCTACCCCTTCGCCCCACCAAGCTTGACTGCTTCTTAAATAGACAGCTAAAACGTCCTCTTTGTGTTGGTTCCTTACGTCCAGAGGTACCTGTTGCTGCAAGTTACTGAACATTTTCGAGATTTTATGTGTAAATTATGTTGGTTACTATATTTTTCCTCCCCTGGCTTAGCTTTTCAGTTTGTTAGAATTGATAAGTCATTATCATTAATGTGTCTGCTTTCCAGCTTTTAAAATTTCATCATTGTCGTCTCTTCCCCTATTCTCCCCCTCCTTGTAGGTTTACGCAACCTTCTCCATCCTCCTCCCCAACCCCCAGAAATTTCTTGACTGTCTTGTTTGTGAAAGAGTGAAAGTTCAATTCAATGTATTTACCTCCGCAGTTTAGGCAAACCTTTGTATTTCCTACTGGGAGAGCAATGGTTTTATCTCCATCTTCATTCTGTTCATCCCACAGTGCTTACCTGGGGTATTGTTTTGAAATAGAGTCTGGGATGGAGTCTACCTTAGTGAGAATTGATTAGAATTGTCTAGTCTTTGCAGAAGATGAGGTGGTTGAAGCACATACATCACATATACCAGCAGTGCTTTTGTATAATTTAATATTATCAAATTAGTGCTTAAGAATGGAAAATTCTGACTTGTAAGATCTAAATTCTAATTAAAGCTTATTTTTATCTTTATTATTTTAAATGATAATATAATGCTATAGCATACTATTGATCTGATATTTTTCCATAATGTGTATGGCCACCCAGTAAACACCGACTGAATATCTACTGAAAAATGAGGAACTCTTTTATTGGAAAAATATAAAAGGAATGCATTTATCTATTCATCACATAAGCAATAATGTATAAATGTTATTAAAAAAAAAGTAGTACATTCATTCTCCCTGGTTTAGAATTTGTGAAACCTTTGCAAACTAAGAAACATGGAAAAATTTTGAACATTAAAATGCTAAATATTATGGGAAAATGAGCACATTTGGACAATACAGATTTCTGGCCACCTCGTTCAGAACCATTAAGCACACTGAAAGCTACATTTTTACTTGTCTTCTCTTCATCTTCTCTCTCTCTCTCTCCCTGTTTTTCTTTTTTGTGAACAGCTGCAGCTGCTGGTGGCCAGTAATAAGTATCCTGAGAGTCCAGAAAAGGTACACTTTGCCTTGCTGTTTAAAAGTAATGCAATATGTGAAGGCCCAGAGAACAAGCACTGTGGAGCTGCTATTTTCCTGTTCTACCCCTGATGGATTTTCAAGGTCATGCTGGCCAATCAAGGTATCATCAGTACTACCTGAGCAACAAGAATCTTCACCTTATTCCAAGTCAGGAACTGTTTCTGCGCAGCCACTCTCTCCCCTGCTTCATTTCGTGACTTTTTTTTTTTTTTAAAAAAAACAAATTGTGTTTAGAAGTGGGTGTAATCCAGCAATAGAGTTTACTGGCTTAGTTGGTGGGTTAATTAAAAAAATTTGCTCATATGAACTTTCATTTTATATATTTCTTTTGCCTTAAGTTTCCTTAAACTGAGAGCAGAAATATTTTACCCTTTTTCCTGTAAGTTCAGAAGTATCTGCAAAAAGTACTCATTGTAATCATTCATTGACTCACTTTTTGAAACCAATACCTTATTTTCTCTTTTTTTCTACCCGTCTCCCCAACCATGCCCCCCACAAATATATACCTAAAACCTTCGTATGTGGTGCTGGATTCAGTATGAAAAGAAATCGGCTTTTTAGAAGAAAAAAAAATCCTATGTGAATTGGCACCTGAATAGCACTGAGTTGAAGATCTCTTACTTTGAGAAGGTACATGAGTCTTATACAACCTAGCTTTTTATGAATTAAAATTTAAAAAAAGGAAAGACATCATAAATGATTGTTGTTCTCTCACAGTCTGCTCATTTGTCTTCCAACGATCATGTTATCAGAGGTGAATCCATACAGGTCTGCATCAAACTCCATACGATTCTTGCCTCCTTGGAGGGAAGAATTCAGCTGAGGGTCAGAAGTAGGTTTAAGGCAGAGGGAGAGACTGAGGCAAGTTTTAGAGCGGGAGTGAAGGTTTATTAAAAGGTTTTAGAGCAGGAACAAAAGGAAATAAAGTGTACTTGGAAGAGGGCCAAGAGGGCAACTTGAGAGTTCCAAGTGCCCTGTTCAGCCTTTGACCTGGGGTTTTACACATTGGCATGATTCTGGGGTTTGCATCTCTACCCCCTTGATTTTTCAGGGGGATGGGCTGTCTATGTGAACGGTGGCCTGCCAGCAGTTGGAATGAGCTATGTGTACAATGTGTTACTGAAGTTGTGTGCATGCTCACTTGTGACGTTTTCCCTTACCATTCCAGCGTTCCTAGAGGAAGGTCATATACCAGTTAAACTGCCATTTTGCTTAGTGGGCATGCTTGAGCCCACTTGCCCAGCCTCTAAGATCTCCAGCTCAGGTGTTTCCTATCTATTGGGACACTGTCTTTCACTGGCACTGGCTGCCACCAATTACTATTTGAGAGAGAGAGTTTAACAACCACCTGACCATCACCTGATGGTCACCTGACATTCCTGTGGGACGGGTGGCGGGGGGAGGGGGACCCGCTCTTGCCCTGCTTACGTTTTTATGTTTGCCTAACTACCTACTCTAACAATCATATCCTGTAAGCTTAGATTCTAATATTCTGTAATTTTTTCTTTGCTTTTTTGTTAAGGTTAGGAAAACATACTTCTATTGGAGGCCTTAATTTATAGATATGTTTTAACATTATTATGGATTTACAGTTTGAATTGACTTTAAGTGGTAACACTCAGTGCCCTCACTAGCCTTGTTGTGTGACTTTAATTGCATGTCCCAACTCAGTGTGCCTTTCCAAAGCTAAGCCAATTTGCCTGCCATTCCCTGCAGTTGACTTGCTGATTTTTATTATCCTGTCTCTGAGTTTCTCCTTCTTTTCGATCATCAAAAGGTTGCCATAGAATAATTGCACTGTTTCCCTGCCAATTCTGAACTTTATTCCTCTGGTTATCTTTTTCATATTAACTTCCATTCTCAATCTTATCACTCCCTTTTTAGGATTCCTTGGGCTCTTATGTCTTTAATTCAGAGTCTATTATTTATATTGATTTTCATGTGATTTATAATGGTTCTTTATTATTTTTTGAATGCATGGATTATCTTTCTTGTCCTGATGGTAAATTCTCTGTGAGTAGGGGTTATATCTTCTAACTCTTTTGTATGCCTAGTATAGTGCTGTGCACAATTAGGTACTGAATAAATGCTTGTTAATTAAATTGAATCAATTTAACTTACAGCAATTGTGTTATGAGACAAAATCTTCTGTTATCTGCATGAAAAATGTTACTATGATGTAAGAAATGGATTATCTGTTGATAGGCTGAGTTTATTATTTAATTAGGTTATAACGCAGGTGAGTAAATAAAGCTAGTGTTTATCTCTACTTGGATCATTTCTGCATTGTGTAATAGTAAGATTAGCAAATTGATTTATTGTTTTGTCACATTTACAATGTGGATTACACTTCCTTCTCTTGATCTGGATCATAAGGATGATGCCAGATGACAAACTGTTCCCCAAAGACATTCATCTCCTACAGGCAATGTACTTTTAGAACGAATGTTCACGTTATAGACATTCAGACATGATATACCGAGTTTCAATATTTCCATAAATTAAAAAATACGTTGGATTTTTATAGCACCTAAATACTCATCTGATTTAGTTAAGCAGCTTTAGAAAATTTAATCCTTTCAGTCTCCAGAGAATTGTTGAAAATATTTTCATATTACTATATGGACAAGAATCTGAAACAGTAAAGACCACTTCCAAAGCCAAAGCCGTTTTACGGCTATTCAGAGAATAGCCTTCCACTAGGATGATCTGATAGCTTTTATTTATTTTTGTATCTTCATTTGCATATCTAATAATCAAAGCTATTGGAGAAATTTAGAAGGCAAAGAAGCAAACAAAAATCTAAACTTCACCTTTTATTCTTTCTGAGAAAAATAAAAAAGCTTTGAGAAATATGTGCAAAAACTAGATTTGCTTATCTAAAGAACTTTGCTGTTCACTTGAAAAACTAAGAAACTGCATTTCAACACATTCTTTGAATTATTTATTTAGGCATCTCAGAGGAACACATAGTTTAAGCTTTATCAAGGGATTTGTAGTAACAAAACTTTGACCTGAGCTGTGTTTGCCTATCTTGATGGATCTCTACAAGTATGAGAGCCAGAAATATAACCAAAAGAATAAGTAAGCAGGGTTTCAAAAACAAGAGACTCAAGAATGAGACTGGCATGTGTTCTGAACTCTCAATGCACATATGCCCGTGCATTCTTGGAGGAGACTTTGAGACCTAACCTTGATGTTAAAACAAACAAACAAACAAAAAAAACGCATAAAACTGTAGTCCTAGCCTTTATTCCCATATAACTCCTATAAGAAGGAAATGCCATTACATGATGACATCAGGAGTTCTCAAGCCCCTTCATGAGATATCTTTTTCTCGAAGTTCTTTTGTAACAGATCACTTTGGCTATTTGGCCTCCAATGGTCCAGCTGCCTTTTCCAGGACTGATTTTGATGACTCAGCAGTTACAAATAATGAAAAAATGTGTACATAAAATACTTGTCCTCTTCTGACAAGGTAGTTGTTGTATTACACACATTTTCTTACCACAAAGAAGTTTCCATACAAATCCTATGGGTATTTAAAAATTTATAAAAAGGTATATATTAATGACAGCACGTTTGGAAAATGTTAATAAAATGAAAATGTAGAAGTCCCACAATTCCACCACTCAAAATAACTTCTGTTAATGTTTTTTTTTTCAGATTCACAATTATATATGCACAGACTCAATAAAAAAGTATGGATCATAAGATATATCTAGTTTTATCCCACTTTTTAATTAAACATTTTCCTATGTCACAAAAATTACTTTAGGACATCTTACTAGGTATAAAATATTCCTCTACATTAATATAGCATAATTTGTTTAACGATTCTACTTTGTACACTTAGATAATTTAAAGATTAAATTACAAAGATTAACTTTATATTAAAATAGAAAGATTAACTTTAAATTTGACTCCTTTTGGAACACATTTTTGTGCCAAGACATTCATTGTCAATATAGCCTTTTAAATCAATATATACACATTTCAACACAGCTGTGGTCAACATATGGATCAATTATATTACTTACTACCACTTAATAGGTTTTCTATTTCATAGCAATGAACCTTAGAAGTCACTAAATTTTTCTCTTTGTACTATTTTATTTGTGGTTACATAAACTCTCTATAGGAATTATCTCTTTTTCTTTTAAAGCAGTTTTAAGTTTAAGGAAAATATTTAAAACCAATAAATAAAATATTTATTTGGAAGCCAAATCTCACATGCTGTGTAAAATCAAGTTTCATCTACATCTGATAACCAACCCAAAGTGCCACCTGTGAAATTAACTTTTTTTCTGTTTGATTTAGAAAACTTTGGTATCAGTTACATTTATGTTTTGATTTTATTAAAAATAACAGGTCCAAAATTATTCACTCACTCAATGAAAATAGAGAGAGTCCCTGATATTTTATTGTGATTTGAATTTTTTATTGTCACTTTCATAAGGTCATGTTTCTCAGGTTACTGTCATGGTTCAAAAATAGAGCCCAGGGGGCAATAGGGGAAAATGGCAGGACTAACTTGCAGGTCTCACTCAGACAAACAGAACAGCATGTGGAGATTCACATTGTGAACTTTTGCTCCAAGAAATAAATAAATACTGCAGGAACATACCAGGAAAGCCAAGAGAATCCACAGACTCTTTAGAGGAAGCAACTTGCCTCTGCAGGCTCTGTGAGACAGCCAAAAAATGGAGTGTGCAAAATATGAGGGGTAATATCTGCTCCCAATCACACATACTCACTGGAGAACCTTCAGGTCCAGATCACTGGAGAAGGATTAGCCTCACTTGGAGATGAGATAAATTTAGAGAATCAAGCAAAATAAATGAATAGAGGAAGCAGTGGAAAGAGCCCTGTGGGCACTCTTGGTCCCAAGGGAAGCCATTTCTGACTTTGTCTTGCAGGGGCCCTTGGGGAGGACTGCCAGTAAAATTGAGGAAAGACCACAGGGAGAAGGAACTTTCCAGCTGCATTTTGTAACAATTTTGACTGAACACAAAGTTCCTCAGACATAATCTGAGGGAGGGGGCGAACTGGAGTGCGGGTACCAGTAAAGTTACAGCGGGTAGGGAGGTGTGAAACCTGAAAGCTCTGCTTGCTTTCTCACCAGGGAGGCTTGTATCCCAGGGCAAGTTCTCAGCCTTGCTCACCAGCTACCTGGAAATAAACTCGGTGCTGTTGGTGGGGCACAGTGGGAGAGAGATTGGCTTTTCAGACTGCATGAGATCTGAGTGAGACCTGTCACTGCTGTCCTTCCCCCACTTCCCTGGTGACCCATATGATGCAGCAGAGGCAGCTATAATCCCCCTGAAAACATAACTTCATTGGCCTGGGAACCACACCTCCATCCCCCACAGCAGCCACAGCAAGTCTCACCCAAGGAGAGTCTGGGCTCAGGCATACCTAATCCTGTCCCTACCTGAGGGTCTTTCTCTACCCACTCTGGTAGCCAAAGACAATGGATATCATCCATTGGGAACTCTATAGTCCCACCCATGGCCTGAGAAACCCAAATACTTATCCAGGCCACCTTAGGGCAAACTTGTATTCTCCCTATACTACCACAGCTGTTGCTCTCTTGAAAATGCCACCTCCTGGCCAGAGGCCAACTAACACAAAATCAGCATGATAAACAAAACCACAACTAAGGACCCTCACAGAATCCACTTCACTCCCCTGCTGCCTCCACTAGAGCAGTTGCTGATATCCATGGCTGAGAAACCTGAAGATGAATCACATCACAGGACTTTGTAGACACCTCCCAGTACCAGCCTAGAGCCCAGCAGTTCTGCTAGGTGGCTAGACCCAGAAGAGAAATAAGAATCACTGCAGTTTGGCTCTCAGTAAGGCCATCCCTAGGGAAAGTGGGAGAGCACCCATCAAGGGAGCACCCTGTAGTACAAAAGAATCAGACCAGCAGCCCGTGAGCCCCAGATTTTCCCTCTGAAATAATCTCCTCAAATGAGAAGAAACAGAAAAACAATTCTGATAATATGACAAAACAAGGTTTTTTAACACCCCCCAAAGAGCACACAAGCTCCTCAGCAATGGATCCAAACCAAGAAGAAATCTCTGAATTGCCAGAAACAGAATTCAGAGGTCTCTTATTAAGCTAATTAAGGAGGCACCTTAATTAGCTTAATAAGTTGAAGTTCAACTTAAAGACATTAAAAAAAATAAGATACAGGATATAATTGTATCTTATTGATACAATCAATAAGATACGATATCCTTGATGAACATAGATGTAGAAATCTTTAACAAAATACTGGCTAACAGAATCCAATATATGATTGGAAAAATCTCCAGTGAAATAGATAGCATAAATAAAAAACAGTCACAACTTCTGGAAATGAAAAACACACTTAGAGAAATGTAAAATGCACTGGAAAACCTCAGCAATAGAATTAAACAAGTAGAAGAAAGAACGTCAGAGTTAAAAGACCAGGCTTTTTAATTAACCCAACGTGACAAAGATGAAGAAAAAGGATTAAAAATGAACAAAGCCTCCAAGAAGTTTGGGATTATGTTAAATGACCAAACCTAAGAATAAGGGGTGTGCCCAATGAAGAAGAGAAATCTAAAACTTTGGAAAACATATTTGAGAAAATAATCCAGGAAAATTTCCCTGACCTTGCTAGAGATCTAGATATCCAAACACAAGAAGCTCATAAAACACCCAGGAAATTCATCGTGTAAAGATTATTGCCTAGGCACATAGTCATCAGGTTATCTACAGTCAAGATAAAGGAAACAATCTTAAGAGCTGTGTAGCAAAAGCATCAGTTAACTTATAAAGGAAAACCTATTGGATTAACAGCAGATTTCTCAGCAGAAACCCTACAAGCTAGAAGGGTTTCCTACAAGTTACAAGAAGGGATCACTTACAATCTAGACAGGGACCCACCTTTAGCCTCCTTAAATAAAACATTTAGCAGACAAGAATTTTGTGTCCAGCAAAAACTAAGCTTCACAAATGAAGAAAAGATACAGTGTTTTTCAGATAAACAAATGCTAAGAGAATTCAACACTGCCAAGCCAATACTAGAAGAACTGCTGAAAATAGCTCTAAATCTTGAAAAAAAAATCCTGGAAATACACCAAAACAGAACTTTCTTAAAGCATAAATCTCACAGGATCTATAAAACCATAACATAATTAAAAAAACAAACAAACAAACAAACA